TTATTTTTGTTCTATTTATTGTTGTAATGCGCAGTTGATCATCTCGCCATGAAAACTGCCCAATATAAATTCTTAATTATTATTATATTACTATTATTTGACGACGGTTGCAAAGGGTGATTAAAATAGGAAACTGACCAAGCGATAATAAATTGGAATATTCTGGCATTCTGTTTGGGAGAGAAAGATATCAGATTAGTGAATTTCAAGGCCACTTTCCCCTTTTTGACTTTTGCCGACAGTTATTTCCTGTATACTCGGTTTGCGGCGAGGCTCGAGTATTTCAATCAGATAAACGCTTCCGACTTCGGCAAGAAATTACGTTCAAAACTCTCCTGTGCTTTCCTAATATACATGTGCTTCCCTCAGCTTTAATTGTTAAACACTTCCTCACCAAAGCTTTAAGTCAAAAGCTAAGCTGGTGGTCTATTCATTAAATGTTTTTGTTGATGTTTTTTTGTGCGCCGAAAAGATTCTCATTAGTATCACTTTTTAAAGTGATTTAAAAATCATTTTCTAAAAATGCACAATATCTTTACCCTAACCGCTCTAATGAAAAGTTGTTATTACAAAACAATTGTGCCAAATACACGGTCAAATTAAATCTTTGTTAATGACATGTTTTCTCGTGAGTGACCCTAACCTTATGGGAACCTGACTTAACCTCAGTCAAACTGTGCTTTGAGGCGATCGCATCAACTCTTTTCATATCGGCATACATATTACAAAGGTCGACTCATGATTTTTGCTAGTACAAATTTCGGGAGTCTACTTTTATTCTGTCATGACGCGATCGAGGTGGTTATTTTTGGAAAAGTCTTTCTGTTAAGTCACTAAAAAAAGAACACCTAATGATGATAAGTATTTGATGTTAAGACCGACAAAAGTTCCCGTTTGGCGACCCCCCGAAAACAAAAGAATTTGAAAATGGAGAAAGAACTGACGGTTTACAAACAAAATTATCTCTTTTTCTTTGAAACTCGATAAGACCGTCACATTTCCGCACGTTCATTACAAATTAAAATAGTAAGCTTGATCTGTGACAAGTTTAGCATAAAAAGCTGAACACACGTTCAGTTCAATCGATGTCTTGTTTATAGCGATTCTGCATCCGAAAAAAGAAAGGAACTCGGAGAATCCGTTCAGTCCATATTGGTTTGCTACTCCTTGACAGCAATGTTCAAGCCAACTGAGGGAGAAGAATTTGCGAGGGATTTTTTCGTCTTCATCTTGATGTTTTTTATTTTGGTTGGAAACGCCCTGATTATAGCAGCGTTCATAAAAAACCGCTTGCTTCGAACAGGATCGAACGTTTTCATCGTCGGTTTAGCTGCGTCTGATTGGCTCGTGGGAGCAACAGCCATTCCTCTTTATGTGGCGAATCTCAAACAAGAACTGCCTGGCACGCTTTTAGAAAGGTCTTACATCACACTGGACATTTTTAGTGGAACAGCATCCGTTTTCCATCTAGTGTCAGTCACTGTGGAGCGTTATATCGCCATCACAAGACCTTTTCTACATCGCACTCTCCTACTCGACTCTTATTATAAAGCATTAGCCTTTGTCTGGGCCCTATCTTTAATTCTCTCCTGCCTCGACTTCATACTTACACCCAAAGTCAGTAGTAAATACCCCTTCTATATCCTCGTTACCTTGTTTTTTCTCGCGCTTGTGACGATTGTCCCTTTAGACATACTCATTTTAAAGATTTCTCGTTCGCTGATTCGCAACACCGTTGAGCCCGCGGTGCATTCAACCAGAAGCAACGAGACCTTAAGAAGGAAACTTCGCCGCGAGAGAAGAACGGCTGCAACAATCACGATTACGTGCGGGGCGTTTTTTGTCACGTGGCTTCCTCACCTGGTAGCAGCGTTCGTGTTCACATTCTGTTTTCCTTGTAATCTTTCCCCGGTGGATATCGGCCGCGTGGGTGCTTTCGTCAAGTGTATGCAATACGCTAACAGTGCATTGAATCCGTTTGTGTTCGCGTTTCGCGATGCTCAAATTAGAACTACGATAAAAAGGATGATAAACCCCTGCTTGAACATTGTCCAAACCGCCGCAAGTTCATCTCAAGAATTGTCGTAGATTTTACGACAAGTAAGCCTTGGGATGTACTTGATCTATTTAAATAAACAAAGTAGCAACTCGACACATTATCAGCGATGGAACTCTTACACACTTGTTGGATCAAAAACTGATGGCCTGTATATACATTTAGAGGGAGATGCATGCTTATTTATTTCAGCAATAACATTGTAAATTACCTTGCGCCAACATGTAATCGTAGAGAGCAGATTTACTTAGCGGTGGTTAGCTCGGTGGTTAGCGGTTTTTACGGCTCGAAAGCTAAGCTCCCCTGACCACCGTACACTTCTACCCAAACCATTAATTTTCTTTTTTTCCCCTTCTTCTTCTACTTTATTAGTGTATTCTTACCTTACTTATAATGTCAATATTTTATAAAGTGTGAATAATAAAATTGAATTGAATTGACAAGGGAGTGTGCATGCCAACAACGCGCGCGCGAGCGAACACAACGCGAGATATGGTAAGGAGCTCCGGTAGAATTTTACTAAAAGACTTAAAATAATATCAATAATGACAGCTGTAAATAAAAGAAAACTTAAACTTGCAGTAGCACCTGAACTGGTGACTCCTCTCTTCGTAGTGCTATGTTTGTAAAATTAAAACTTCACTAGATATAAGATGTTAAAAGACTCTTAAAACCTAGAGAAATAAACTAAACTGCACGCCTTTGGGGACAATGGTTCTTCTACCTTATTAAGAGTTCAGTTACGGAGTAACAATACTCTCCCTCTTGCCTCAAGTGCATTACTTACTTACATACTCGGGAAATTGTACTTAACAAAGGGATTGTTTCCACAAAACAGGGTTTCCGCCCACAATCGGCGACAAAATTGTTGAGACATTGTACTTAAATAGGGTAGTTTCGGAGAACAAAGGAATCCGCACCCTTCCCCTGTCCCCTCCATTCAAAGTTGGGGTGTTTGTTGTTTTCTATAGGCAGCTAGAACAAGGGCACAACATTGCACGGAGGGGATGGGGGAGGAAAGCTATATTTCCTCCTTTTGAAGTTAATAAAACGTAAAAAAGCCCAGTTTTGGGCGAAGTGTCTCAACTCATTTTGTCGCCGATTGCAGTTAGAATTAACTGCATAACTTTATAAGACGCACAGAATTGCAGGCTGTTCAAATAAAGACTCAACCTGTTCTTGCAACGATCAATTCGTTTTTTATTAACCTATTTTACGTTATTTGTAACCCTCCTTCACTGAAGTGAAGTTAAAATCCGACCATCCGCTTTTACCGCGCGCTATTTAAAGATCTGAAAATAAATTCAGTTTGAGTGTTGAAAGTTGTTTACAAGATCGAGCAGGTTGCATGAGGTGACGTCACAAATCATATACCACGTGAGCAAGTGGCGGGAGAACAAAGGGTATTCAACAGTCAAACGGAAGATTACTGGGTTATTGTGGTGAATAACCGTGAAATGGCTGGTTAAAAGACTCTATAAAGCGATAATGGGAAGCTTCAATCTCTTAAAAGAAGAGTTAGATGTACGTCGCAGATAACTGATTCTCATTGTCTGAGATAAGGTAGGGGAAATTGCTTTGAAAAGAAATTTGACAGACAGTGATAAATATTTTAATCAAACTTGAATTTGAAACTGCCCAGACCTAAGATAGATGACACTTTCATAACGTGCACTGACACCATTTTGCTGACATTTGCGAACTGGATTCTGCTGAGAGCTTTTTGAACTTTGCGGAAGTAAAATCTTGAAACTGACGGCGTTTACTGTTTACGACATGGAAGAGCTTGATGCGAGAACACTTGTAAAATTAACGGGTCCCAGTCCTTGCAGGTTGCAGAATGTGGCGATTGTTTAGGTCAAGTAAATGTAAATTGTAACTCGTTGAAAACCTCCAGATTTAAAGAAAATGGAAACTTAACATCGAAAAAAAAAAAAAAGAATAGAGACTTTTTCTGACTAGCGTTTATTTGAATTATCCTTAATCCCCATTTCTGAAAGAACACATTGGAATCAGACAATTGTCCATCGTAGAGAGTTCTTCGCGTTAAGGAAAGTATAGGGCAGAGAGTTAAGAACAAACGCCACCTAATCGTAGCCAACAGTTACGGGCACCTAACAAATGACTTACTGACGGGCTTAGGCAAAATTTACAACCATCGAGTGACTGGATTGCCAACAGTTTTACTAACAGTAAACGACCTTTATAACTGGACAGAAGATGGATCAAAACGCATTTTGGGAAAATAGTACGAGAGTGAAATAAAATGTCGGAAAAATTGCATGGACCAACACTAGGTTTCTGTTCACCACAATCGTAATCGAGCAACGTTGTGATACCCCATTTGAGCTATGATTTAAACTCTGTAAATAAAAGCCATCGTCAGCGACCACATACACAGACCGTACACATACCATACTGTTTACAGGTAGCCTTTACGACATCTGACGGAGGATCATGAGGTTATCCCTATATTAAGATCTCTCCTTACAGATACCCCTCCCAAACCAGGAAAGGCTGGCCACACCTCTAAGGTCTACGTCTTTTGCTCTTTTCGAACAGTGGTGTGGGTTCTTTTACGTCCCACAAGAACCAGATACGTGAGTACTGTGAGACGGGACCTGCAGTTTTCGTCCTTATCCGAGAAGACTAGAAAGTCTAACCGTTTGCAGATGTAATTTCAACGGCAGCACTTTCTTCTCAGATATCAAACGACCCCGAGTGTTGGTCCGTCCCGGTCTTTTTTTAGCTTTTTAGGTAATAACCTAGTGTAATCATTCAGATTGAGTTTATTTTCTTGATTTTTCCCGTAGACGACCATCTCCCGTAAGCGACCACTTTGTCGTGCACCAACGGCGGTCACTTACGAGAGTTGACTGAAGTTTAAAACCTTCTAATTAACCACTTGGTTCTAATTTTTGCTTCTTTCTGCCAAGGTTGTCTTATGAGCGGGATCTCGCATGATGTTGAAGATTTCACTTTATCTTCGCACGAGCAGTTCAGTATCGAAAGCATGCGCAGAAAAACACTGATTCCAAAACTCAAGCTCACACTCGAATCTCGTGTTCACAGGCTGGGTACGCTGAAAGGTCTCCCCCGTCTTTTTCTCTTCCGAAGAGCTTTCTGTTTCTACTGGGGACTCATAATTTTACTGTTTATTTACCTTAAATGGAACTATCCCCTGTATCTGACAAGCAACGTCAATCGGAACACTCTACAAGACTTTGGTAGAGACTGGTGCCGAATGCGCAACGCGAGAACAGACTGGAAACGAATACGAGAACCCTGTGAACAAAACACGGTCTACGAATACAGCTTGCCCGGATGGAGCAAGGAAAATAGAACGAATGGGCGCTTCAGCTTTCTTGATTTCATGGACATCCGCCCTGCTGGTGAATTTAGTAGGCTTATGATTCGTACCCAGACCGCCTATGGGCTTATTAAATCAGTTGGCGGAGACTATTGGCGAGTGTTCATTTCAGGCCCTACTGGATTTGCGCCAACTGTGTTTGATCACGGAAATGGATCCTATGAGATCTTGTTTCTGATTCTTCGGCCTGGGAATTATTGCGTATCGGCTGTTCTGGATCATTCTATATGTGAAGGCATGAAGGACCCTCCAGACTACTGGTTTATCTCCGGTAAGAAAACAGTGTCATGGTAACCAACTTACAAAGAGCACCTTTAAAAGGCCATGGTCACTCAAACTGCATTGCGCCCTTGTCTTTATTTTGAAAGGGTTCAGCCAGGGATGAATTTATTGTCAAAACAATTTTACCGTAAATGATCTAATAGACGTCCGGAGCGTTTATTTAATTTTAGGTGTCGTTTATTAGACAAGAGACATTCATTTGATAGGGAGCTTCAATTATGTCATTTACGGTAAACTGTAGCCAAGCATACTCAAGTACTAAGGTACCAACTGCAACTATAGAGAACAGATACTCGTAAAATGTAGAGCAACGCTGATGTATACTTAAAAGCCTACCCTCAATTCTCGAGCGTACTCCAAACATGGTCATTTATGTTTGCAGGAAATACCCATGGAAGCAACCAGCCTCAGGGCATTCTGGGTGGAAAGCAAGTGTATTTGATGCATCCCTTAGCGGGCGGAGAACCGCTGTGCTTTGAAGTGCCCGCGAGTAGAGGGCCAACGAGAAGAGATGGTACGAACTATTCTTCCTTGCCAGTTCTTTAATTCCTATTGACTTGACTCAAAAGAGAATGACCTAAAACGTATAAATACTAAAATAGGAGCCCATGGGAATAGTTAGATATTTTACAGTCCCCTATTTTCCCTGTTATTTTCGGGAAAGACAGAACGAAAGGGCGCCCTCTTGATTTCATCTGGTGAACGATGGTGACGGGAGCTGGAGTATGCATATTGCCCAAAGGGTCGGGGATTGGAGACATATCTGGCCTCCCTGCCCTACCCACAAGGACAAATTGTACTACCCTCAGCTTTCGCTTACTATATAAAAACCAAGTCCAACTACCCTTCGGACTCGACACTAAACTTCCACAATCACGCGGACAAACACTAGGTTACGAATAGTCTTGGAGACACTGAAATGAGGGTCCTTACGGCCTGTTAACTTCTTTTGCTGGGCTTGACTGTAATTTACACTTATATTTTATTCAATGTACCTTTTTTTCAGAAGAATTTTTAAGTTATGGATATGGACATCCGTCCCACTGTGGTACTGACTGTAAGTTTTTATCAGATGGATTTGGCTATTGGATGAATGGTTCGTGGATAGCGCATGCTCCTGGTAAGGCCCTTTACCCTCTATAACTGAGTTTTATTTTTCACTCAGTATTTTTGGAAGCAGAAGTACGTTTAATTTGCTGTCTGTAAATGTTGTTTTATACTCCAAGATTTAGGGAAAATTCACTTTAAGTTATACAGCGTTTCTCACCACCTGCCAATCCTAACTAATATAGCAATCTTCAAGCCTTGCACCACCGTAAGCGTTGTTTTCCCACGCATACTGTAATTAGTAGGGGTTCGGTGTTTCATACTCCACCTAAATGGACAAATGCTTTGCTTTGTCACGTCGTTACTACACTCACAATATAGAACCCTGATTTCTTTACTTTTCGATAATTTAAATCTTCTCAGGAGATTTGAAGTTTATCCCGCTGATTGAGAATCAGAAACACGGCTACGTTTGATTTAAGAATATAGGAAATATCAGCCTAGTCCCCAGGCGTTCTTGGCGCGGTCAATCCTGGACTCTACCCTGAGCTGTGACGTCAGCGAGAGAGACTTGCTGAGAAAGCGTTCTCTCGCCCGCTCTTTCCCAGACTGCGCGCAGACAGCTGAGCAAGAGAGAACGCCTAGGGACTAGGCCGAGGAAATGTAAGAGGAAATAGAAGATATATGACTGAGTTTGCTGCTTAATAGTTTGCGTCGGGTGACACCTCACAAATCCTTCAGGCCTCTCTAAAAAGGAGATTGTTATATTGTTTGTCCCACTTTCAAACTGATACATTATTGTTTCTTTTAGATAACTTGTTCGCGCCTTCCCCGCGCAGAAGAGAAGGAATACTGTGGATTTACGGTGATTCACTTGCTCTCAGATTCTACGACTCCATCTATTACACGCCTTTATGCACAGAAATATTCAAGGCCTGTAACATTACCTACAACTGGGTCTACAACATGAACGAACCTGTAGAAATTGAGAAATATAAGAGAAACTATCGTGACTTTGATCCTTGGCGAGTGTTAAATGAAATCAGGGATGTGATATATCTTCCTCAAATGGACGAAAAAAGTGTTATCGTCCTAAACTGTGGATTGCATTACGTTTCTTCTTTAAAATTTGCGGTTTATCGCAAGCTGATTGATGACATTATTGCTATGTTTAAAGAAACCTGGGTGAATAAATACGGTAAAGTGCAGCTCAAGTTTCGGGGAAAATTGATTTGGAAAACTACAACAGCCATTCACAGGGAGAGGTTCCTGTACCATGATCACCCGAGTCCGCGATTCCTAACTCTTCAGGTAACGTTTTCGTCCATCCATCGTTTTCATCCATCCATCCATAAAAAAACCAACGGTAAACTGCTCCTCACAGCAGAAAGAAGAAAAAACAAAATCAAAGCCGTGAGGAACAGTTTGCCATTGTTTCTTTCTGCGAACCATTGTTATTTACTGTCCACCATATTCAAGTAATTAACTATCCAATAATTTCAAATGAGTTCGCAAGTTATCTGGAATCGATGGTTATGCCATCGGAACCACTCTTGAAAGCGGGTGTTTTTAACCTCCAGGTCGACGTCCCAGAAAACCCGGATAAAGTCTCTTTACTTAGCCTGCGAGAGCATCCGGTTTTTTCGGCTCAAGTTTCTAGTTTCACCCGCCGAGAAAAAGGTCTTTTTTATGTACACTAAACATTTAACAATATAACTGCATGATGTTTGGCTAACTAACCTATAAAAGATCTCTCTTCTCGCTACTAGACTAGTTCTGGGCTGCTTCATTACAGACACTCTCTCCAAATCAGAGTGAACCAAGCAAATACTTCATATGACGCCAATTTCAACAGGGGGTTTTGCTTCTTTTTGCTTACTATTTGCACACCGTGGACCAACCAATTTCTCGCCCATGAAAATGGCAAACAATTCACTACAATCAAAATAAGCTAAAAATAACTGAGTCTAAAGAAAACAAATCCATCCACAGCCTTGATTTGTTTGGCTCAACAGGTCGGGGGGGGGGGGGCAGTTGCCCCTCCTGCCTCCCCGCTAGTTACGGCTCTGGATTTTTAATTGAGTGAATTATCATAAAGCGCTATTCATCATCATCATTATTATTATCATCATTGATTGAATGACTGACTGGCGGCTAGATTAGGCAGTGAGTCAGTCTGTCAGTCAGCCGAATATCAGCCAGTCAATCAGTCTGTGAAACAATCAGTCAGCTCATCAGGTAATTATTCATTCAGTCACTCAGTAATCCAATCTTACAGAAAGTGAGTTTTCCCTTTAGTCAGTCAATCACTTGACTATCTACCAGACTTTTTGTCAGTCACTTAGTTTGTCCGCCCGTCAGTTAGTTGGTAATGAAGTCAGTCGCCAAGTTAGTCCGACAGTTGGCCAGTCAGCCCGTTACTCAGACAATAAGCAGACTGTCTGTCTGTTTGTCTGTCTATCTGTCTGTATAGTCCTTTCGTCATTGTCTTAAAAGGTTTCAGTTTTAAAATACTTCATTTTTCCTTTTTATTTAGCGCATACAGTTGTACAACGCGTACGCCATCTGGGCCATGTGCAAAGCAGGAATTGAGATTCTCGATGTTTTTCCGATGAGTGCCTCGTATCCCGAGGGAACAGATGGCAGTTTAGACAAGCATGATGCGGTACACTTCAAGAAAACAGTGTTTAAACCGGCAGAGCAGCTTCTCTATGAATACTTTAATCCTCGCAGCAGCAAAACCACAAATTGAAGATGATAAAGTGGCTGTATTTTCAATAAAATTAATTTATTCCAAATCAGTAAAAATATGTCTTTTCAGGGTCAAACGGACGTTACTGATACCAAACATCGTGCAATGATATGGGATATTATTACATGGTGGGGTCTACTGACGGGCATTTCGCTTCTTGTTCGGCAAGAAAAACGATTCTTTTTCCCCTCATTTGTCCAGCCTTGTTTGGTCGAGATGGCTCGATATTGGCCTTTACGGTTCTAGAGGATTAAAAAGGTCCAATTTAAAAAATGCCGATAACTCAGAAATTTTATGATAGAATTTCATTGAAATTGACCGCCTCTGACTGGTTTAGTTCATAATCCAATTCAATTAGTTGCATTATATTCCTGCCATTCATTCTTCCATGTGCTACCACCTCTCGTAAGCGACAAACGATTCAAAACACCAAAATTTTCTATTCATTAAACGTGGACAGTTTTATTTTCCACCGTTTTTAGCCTCTTGTGTGAGGCCACTTGATTGATCGTTTGATCTCTATGTTCTTTATATGTTCCCAGGATGCTACTCAAAGAATGACAATATTGAACATTTCGTGACAACATTGAACTCAAACACTGAACTACACTTTTCGTAAAACTAGGCTGATTTGTCCCCACCTTTTCTGAGAGGAGAACCCCTGGGGTTCAATTCTCGCAGCTTAGTCCCAAGGCGTTTCTGCTCGGTCAAACCTGGACTCTACCGTGAGCCGTGACATAATCGAGAGAAACTCACAAAGAACTCCTTACCTTAACTCCTTACCGACTCCAATACCCCTTACCCACCCTTTTCCAGACTTCGCGCGGATAGCGGGACAAAAGGGAACATCTGGGGAATGGACTGCGACTCTCGTAAGCGACCACTCCACTTTGGGTGGTAACGTACAGGGGGTTCGACTTTCGGTTTCGCTTCATTTTTCTTCGGAGTCTTGACTAGATCAAACATCAGTTGTTGACATTGTGGCTATATAGAACCCTCGATCTTTTAAGGTTTTCAGCCGTGATCAGTATAAAATCTCTCTTAACACAACAATGCCTATGCAAACATAGAGGACAGTGAGAAAACAGAAAATGATTATTTAAGGATTAAATGCCTGATTTTAAAGACATTTGTCTTTTACGAACCATGCGAAGTGTGTAGGGAGAAGCGCAAAGATTTAAGCTAGTATACAAAAAAACGTAAATCATTATGAAAAACTAAGTTGAAAAAACTGTGGCGATTGCATAACAAGCCACAATAGTTTGCATAATTTGCATAATGATTGACCTACTCATTATGCAAATGGACTCAAGTCACCGAAATAGGTTATTGAGATTCAAGCATTCAAATCCTTCTGCAATCAGGTATTTGTTTCTAAACATTATCTTTCACTACTGAGTTCCGGTTTTATTTACGACTTTTTCTCACTGTTATTTTTCACGCATTTATTACCAGTTACTCAACTTGGTCAAGAACGGCGTATTTCAGGGCTTGAGTGAGACATAAAAAGAGATCAAAAGTTGACTTGTCGCCTGAGTTGCAGACAGCAAATACTGTGGACTGAGGTATGTTACTCCCTTGATTTATAGTTCCTTTCTGTTAATTAACTCGAATAACCAGTCTGTCGTCAAAAATCTCACTGTGATGTAGTTACCTTGAACTGTCCCAAAACAGCTGTTAGCTCAATGTCTCACTTTCCAAATCTATACGCGTTTCTATCAGTTATAGCTAAATCACAGGAATGTAATACATGGCTCCGAAATGTCTGCTCCCGACAGTTTTTGTCGGGTCTTTTAGTTCTGTAGGCTTAAGAGTAATACACAGAGTGCAAAAAGATGCAGTTTATGATACTGACTACAACGGTATCAACCATATCGAGCCTCGTTATATTGGTATTTCTTAGATTGACAAGTTTACTTACTCTCGCTATCGCTGTTTATATTCTTTACAAAGAAAGTATATTTTTTGTTGTATCCTTGACAATAAGCACCTCGTAAACGATTAAAGTTAAACACCAACCTTAGAAAATGTGCCATAGACTGGTGTATTTCTGCATGTGTTTGTTACTGTCCCGTTTTTACAACTTAGATATGTTAAAATACTTATGAACCTCGACCAGAATTTGAGTTCAACCAAAAAGGCAATGTTTATCTGGGTTAGAGAAAAAGGAAAAAAAAAAGTGCATTCAAGACTATTCTTTTTATGACCAAAATGGCGGCAAAATAGCCGAATCAAATTTATCTTTGAAAACCCTATTTGGGGCCGCATTACCTTTTTATCCCGTTTTTACAACTTAGATATGTCGTTCGACCAGAATTTGAGAAAAAAAAGGGGGAGAAAACAAAAGCACGTATTCTTTATTGCGAATCAAATATCTTTGATATATTACCTTTTTTATCTTGAGTCGTTGAAGCGGAAAATGGATTTCACTTCTCTTCAAAAAAGAACAACTAAAACAAAGCGAACTGAAATTAAAACTCTTCATTTCAGTGAGCTAGACTCTTTAGCGTTGTTCTTAACAACCAAGGAATGAACAACAAATTTCTTCCCAAGGGTTCTCTCCAAATCCCGAAAGAGGTAAATCGTTAATGTTGGAACAGACAGGGCAACCAACCATGGTATTTATACATGAAAACAGCAAAAAAGGCAAGAAAACTGAGAATACTTTGCAAGTGCGGACTAACTGTATATTTTTTGGTGAAAAGATTTATTCTCTGTTTGAGATTATAAGTGTACCAGTTCATTGCGATGTTCGACCTCAGACTAGCGTCGATACAGGTATCGATTTCCAGTGACAAGTGCCTCCGGAGTCTATTAGCTTTATTTTCAACCGTGATCTGTCGTCACGTGACCCTTCTATTACGCAATGTTGCTTGAGATTCGACTCTCTGAACAAAGTCTGCTCGCACACTCTCCATCTCGAGAGGAAACGATTGAACAGCGACCGTCATATTTAACTTACGATTACGAAATGGAGTTACTTTACGAAAATGATTTGGAATTTTGCGCTCAGATTATACATCCCCCGAAGCAAACTACAACTTAACTCTATTACTGACTACTACAAAAATTACGTTAGGGATAATCTTGGTAGATAAGTAATTATATGAGGCACACGAATTTGGTTTAAAAACTAGCACTCGTACACAATCCTTCAAGTTTTAAAGCTATCTTGAGAGCTGCTGTTGCGACAGCGGCTACGCTTTGTGTTATGTACAATCTTGCAATTCCGTTGGTGAAAATGAATATACGATACCGTAAAACATCTTTTAAGCCCTCGGGGGGACTTATTTAGGTTTCAGCTCCATTTGAGGGGGGACGGGGGGGCGCTCAATAGAGAGAGGGGGCTTAACTAATTCAGAAAAGAAGATGGTGTCAGTTCTCCATAAAGAACTAGAATAAAAAGTAGAAAAGTTTAATTACAAGGAGGTTGGATGTCATGCAGCCGACGATCAGAATCAAATCCGAACTTCCAGTTGGTAAACAAAACATCCCGGATCAGTAGAATAATCAGGGGGGAGGGGAGGAGGAGGGGGGCTTAATAGAGGATTTACGGTAATTAATACTAAAAGGACAAATAATAAAAAGGAGGGATTACTGTCAAGTTGAAAACAAAAGGTAAATGCGACAAACACTCTACGCGACAGGTGATATGCCTTAACTAAAAATCGTTTCCCCTTGTCATTGCTAGACAAGTATTTCCGTTATACCGGCCCGCATATGTCATTACCAAAGGCCGAGATAATCAGAGGAATAATTCGTCTTAATTGCATGTTTTAGTTAGTAAACATGGGATGCGGGAACAGTAAATCAACAAGAGTGGAAAACGCGCCTTTTCCAGTTATTAAGCAAACAAAGCCGGTAGCAGCTGAGCAAGAAAAGGAAGGAAAGATTAGTGAGCAGCCAGAATCAGGCACTGAGTCATCTGGTAAAGACAAACAGACTACAGACAGCAAACCAGAAAAACATGGACCTCTTACTCCTAAACAGATTTTAATCGTGCAAAACACATGGGGAATAGTAAAGGGATCTTCGGATTTACAACAAATAGGCATCGAGTTCTACGTCAGGTATTTTCATACTAAAATCTGTTATTCTGAAAGTGTAAAGTTATTAATTTTTCTAATTGAAAGAAAGGAATGGAATAGGTTTTATTGGGATCAATGTCAATGCTCTCCTTAGGGAATTAAAAAGCTGATAGGGGTTTCTTGATCTCACAGAGACTAGCTGTCAAAAACAAGTATTTTCTCTCGGACTAGCGCTCTGCATGACAACACCTCTTCGCTTGTTTCAGGTCAGGGTGCGTAAAAGTGACCCAGATTTGACAATAACAAAATTGATCTTATTAACAAAGGGAAGGTGAATGAATGAATGAAGTAATACGCAGTTTTCTAAGCCATCACCTATTTTCAAACTATGCCATTCTGCACTGACGTTGCATCTAATTGATCTGTATCCAAAATGAAGAGTTAACACGAAAAACACATACAAACTGTTTTTGTAATTAGAAGAATCAACGATACCAAATTCTAGCATTTATTCTTCTGGGGTACGTGTTTCACATATTTCGTACAAATTCATACAAGGAGGCGGAGTTAAGGTCAAAAAAGTCAGTAGGTCTGAAACAGAATACCTATAAACTGGTCTTTGCCGTCAAGTTCCCCTCCGTTACCGCTCAGTCATCTACCACAACAGTTCTTGTAGGGTAAAGATTATAGATTCTGGAAAGGTTATTTAACAATTATTCCTCGAACCCGAATTGGGCTATTGACTCAGAGACCATGAGGGCGGGAGGAATATTTGGTTTAGTAAAATCCGACTAGTTGGTCAAAAATATCGAGACAAAACAACTTTTGCTACTTAAAGCCAGACTTAAATCCTTTTTTGCCGCCAACCAATCAGAACGCAGCATTGTTAATAGACCACTAGCTGGATTTTACTGATGAGGAATAAACTTTTATCCCCTAATTCGTCAGTATGGAACGTACTCAAACAAACACTGCTCATGTTGGTCTTCGCCCAGGTTATTCACCGATTCGCCAGAGCTACTGCAGCTGTTTTCATTTAGAGACATCGAATTATCTGAAGACGTCTTAAGAAGCGATGCGCGCTTCAAGAAGCAATCACTGGTAACTATGCAACATGTTGATTTGGCCGTGACCTCACTCAACGATCTTGGCTCCGTCGTTCCTGCTCTTAAGGATCTGGGAGCGAGGCATAGCATGTACAAAGTTGAAGAACACCACTATGGGGTATGATTGATTTGAACTTGATTATAACGTCAGCAAAAGCTTTCACCCGGCCTCTTTAGCATTTCGCCTCGGGGGTTCTCCCTTGTGCCACCCAAAAGGGTAGGGTTTTGCGTCGTTTTGGTGTGTAAATGGATGTAGACTTGCCCTTTTTGGCATGGAATCGGATATAGTTTTTAAGGCAACTACGGGACTGTATGAAGGTATTAACGTTTCAATTCCAAACGAGTAAGAAGGAAAGAGAAATATGCGAATTCGAAATGGATTTTAAGAAATCTTTTTTTTTGCTGTTCTAATCTAAGCAATTATGACATATTTCTTTGCAGACAGGTCTATAAACGGGTGTGAAAAATGATATTGTTTGGTCTGATGTAGGGTCAGGATTTGGAGAACCGGGCGGCACACCCCTACAAAGAATTCCAGGGAGTACTCCCCCGGGGATTTCGCCTCTATTTCCTCCTCTCAAGACTGACAACAATAGTGGAACAAAGTTCAGAAAGTTTCATACAAACAACAATTGTCCAAAAAGCCTATTGTATGGACCTGTCATAAGAGACAGTTTATTTTTAGATACATTTTAGGGCACTTTTTTCCGGCGATAATAGAATCTCCACCATGTCTATGAGCGCACTCGAAAAATAAGACATCAAAAAGGAAAACTTAAGGTTATTAAAAGGCAAAAATATCATTCTTAGGTTTGTAGGTTTTGCTGACTGGTTTGTGGAATTCAAAAGATATTCAAATTCCCCCTAAAACCGTTCTAAAATAAACTGGTTCGTGAAAACGCCGTGACACGAGCGCGTGGAAGTTGCTCGCTCCGGGTTATGGGCTCCTTCTTGCAAATATTACTTTTCATCAGGCCCAGATGGCAGAGATACTACTAGAAATTACGACCCCATAATTTACGGCTCTAATTAACACAGAGCGATCTATCTTGGGTGTCAGTAAAAAAGATCGTCTGACGGGGTCTTAAGTTTTTTGTATTATTATGTTTCTTTGTTGTTGTTGTTGTTTTCATCTAACTAAAGCATAAACATTTATTGAAACAAAATACGAATTGATCCCGACAAGAGAGGATAAAGGGGACAGAGAAGGCATCCCCCATACACACCCTATTCCATAGGTAATTGGTCTCGAGTTATTTTTAGAATGGGGATGAA